CCCCCCCCCCCCCCAACTTTCAGACATTTCTGGATCCGCCCCTGATTAATATGAGGTGTTTATTATATGGCTCTGTCTCACAAGGACTGGGAACTACCAAATTCACGAATTTGGTTGGCTGAAATCGATATTGAAAGCGGTCTAGATTTTCCCATCTAGACCGCCATCTAGACCGGTAATGTTTTGCAGTGAAAAAGATGTATCCTAAAATGCAAAATCGTTGACTCTTTTCATCTAACAATATTTATTTATGAAAGTGCCAAAAAGCCTGATGAGAAAGAAAAGTGAATGAAGAGGACAAGCAAACTTTGCAGAATTATTAAACTCAGCTCATCGTCGTTCGCAAGCAAAATGTCAGTTAGTACAGACCAGTTACATAAACCGAATTAAATTGTTCTTGTTTGCTCCATATAATAAACATCTTATTAACCGAGCTTAGTCAATCTGTATGGAAGAATCTTGACCTCGGGCGTGCGTACAGACCTCACTGCGTTCGGTCTGTACACACGACCTCGGTCAAGATTCTCCGATACAGACCTCCTGCTCCTTAAATAAGAGCTAATTAACAATTCTTTTAAATGAGAAGTATTGACTAGCCTTTCTGTAGAACAGATCCTCTCGAAATGTTGAATATTTTTGAAAGATTTAAGTAACACTCAGGTAGCACGAAAGCACGCGAGATGTGAGATTGGTCAATTTAACGCACCATTGGTCTACAGTAAGGCTCATTTCCTACGGAATCATGCATTTAAAAAATACTTTCCTTTCTCTAGCGAGAGGAATAAATAATAAATTCCCGCACATTTATGGCCTAGGCACGAAAAGTTCTATATCTTACAGTACTGTAGCAGTACAGACTGGTTCGAACTTTATCAAATCATAAAATTTATGTTTCTTGTTCCTCAAACTTAAATACAGCATACACATAATTCATACGGGTGGCGCTTTGGCTGAGCTCTGTTTGCCAGGTAAAAAAACTCAACATTCCCAAGTGGGATATATTGGCCACAGGTGTGGCCGTTTATTTTGATAGCAAGCTTAGAAAGTTAAATTACAAACATACCAAAGAATTAGCCCAGCAAAGGTAGGGGAGAAACCGCCAGCTAATGTAGAAAATAGAGAAAATGGGGTATGGAGGGTGGGAAAATCCCCTTCAGTTGCTGAGAATGCTGCGCAAAAGAGAAGGTGGACCACATTTAGCGATATCTATATCCCGGATGACAGAAACTCCCCCAACCAAGTAATAGGTCTAGTTACGTCACAAGCTACATAAGATCATTTATTTTGGTGAAATAAATTTCGTATATATATGAACCAAGGTTAAATCAGGCCAAGAGGTTATGACTCCAGATCATATTCTCTTGATCAGGTATTTTGCATATTTACTGCCTATTCCTTGATTTTAATTTATGCTTGTAGTTGGTTGTATGGATTACAATTTTGCTTTGGCGCAGCAGAACCAGCCATGATAGGAACTTTGGTTATTTTCCTGTACGTTTGTACCTACGCTGGATCAGTGAATCTACTGCGTCACTCTGAGGGAGCCACGTGGTTAGTTATTGTCCAGGTGAGGAAAACCCACAGTAGTTTCTGACCTAGTATAGACCCTAGTCATAAATGATTGCATACACATTTAAATTAGCCTAACTAACATCGTTTGAGAGTAAAAATTCTTTTGAAATATCAACTCAAAACCGAGGTTAGTTGGACTAATTTTTAATACCAGCCATTTACGAAGAGGGTCTATACCAAATAGTAAGTTCAGGATGAAAGAGGGTGATAATCTGTGTAACAGACCATTTCCGAGGTCCCGTCCACACTGCACTGAAGGAATTTCAAAACAGTATTTTCACTCTGCAAACGCATCAAATGTTTTCCGTCCACACTACTCCGGAGGAATTTAAAAACACAACAATCACCGGTCATTTTGGAGTTGTGTTAGAGGAAAACTCGGTCAGGGAAATCACGTGATTATCGTGACGTCATCGTTTTTGAACAAAATGGCGGAAATATCGAGAAGATATGTGTTCCTCTTACTTCGAGAAGACGAAATGTACTTGCTTGAAGTGCATAAACCACTTCTGTATACGGTGTCAGCCGTATTTCATGGAAAACGATGAGAGTGTAGCGGGTTGGAAAGCAGGCAGCTCGGTGGCGTACTGTGAGTCGTGTTTTTGAGAGAAAATAACAAAATAAATGAATCTTGAAGAAACCAAGACAACAACGAGCTGAACGAAGAACTGTGATGTTCCCTTGGGAATAACCAATAACAGAAGGTAAACGTTAACCAAATTGAAGACTCGTCTTCGGTTGTTTAATGCTAACTAAATCTGAAGTCTCCTTCTTCTGCCCTCCTTGATCGCACTTGCAAGAAAAACAAGCTCTTCATTTCTACAATTTGTCTTTCCCGCATTTTTTCTGCCATTTTGGTCAGCAGCAACCGCTGTTACCAATAGTCCCTCTTTTAATTTTGCAATTAAGTCCAACTAAGGGCCTCTTCATATGAGCCCGGTAACCGGGCTGACTCGGTTACCGGGACGAATTTTGTTGTCTGTTCATATGGGAAATTTCAGCCCGGTC